CTTGCCTGATTCTTGGAACCTGACCTTGGACTGAACAACTCTGCCTTGCCTGACTTCTGGAACTCTGTGGACTGAATAACTTGACTTTGCCTGACTTCTGAAACCCTGACCTTGGACTGAGCAATCCTGCCTAGCCTAACCCCTGGCACCCAACACTCGGAGCCTCTAAACCTGTGCATTGTCTGAACACAAGAAAAAAACATGCTAACATTGGGTCATGCAAGTGGATTTTAAAGGCAATGTGAAAGAGGCCCTTTTCTCACTAGCCTTTAGTGCTTTGAGGGGGTGAACAAGCATGTGGACAAGGGTGACTTAGTAGTGCTGTTTACCTAGGCTTCCAGAAAGCTTTTGAAAGTTCCTCATCAAAGGCTCCTAAGTAAACTCAGCAATCATGGGTAAGAGATTAAGTCCCCTTGTGGATTAAAATCTGGTTAATTAACAGGAAACAGAGAACAAGTATAAATGGACAGTTTTCACAGTGGAAGGTGGTAAACAGTGGGGTACCACAGGGTTCAGTTCTAGGTCCACTGCTTTTTAACTTGTTCATTAATGATTTAGAGTTCAGAGTAAACAGTGAAGTGGCTAAGTTTGTGGATGACACTAAGTTGTTCAGGGCACTGAGAACCAGGGACGACTGTGAGGCACTCCAAAGGAATCTGTCAAGGCTGGGCAAGTGGGCATTATCATGGCAAATGAGGGTCAATGTGGGCAAGTGCAAAATAATGCACTTTGGAGCCAAAAATCTTAACTATAAATATACATTGATGGGTTACGAACTGGCAATAACTGACCAGGACAGAGTTGTGGTAGATAACTCCCTGAAAAAGTCAACTCAATGTGTGACTGCAATAAAAAGGACAAATGCTATGCTGGGACTTATTAGGATAGGGACTGAAAACAAATCAGCCAATATCATAATACCCCTGTATAAATCTAAGGTGTGGCCTCATTTGGAATATTGTATATAGTTCTGGTCTTTGTTGTTGTTGTTCGGTGTCACAGTCGAGTCCGACTCTTTGCGACTCCATGGACCACATCATGCCAGGCCCTCCAGTCTTCTGTCATGCTCCAGAGTTTTCTTAATTTCATGTTCATTGCATTGATAACACTGCCTAATCATCTCATCCTTTGCCATCCCCTTTTTCTTTTACTTTCAATCAGGATCTTCTCCAGTGATTGCTCCCTTCACGTTTGGTGGTCAAAGTATTTGAGCTGCAGCTTCAGTATCTGGCCTTCCAGGCTGATTTCTTTTAGGACTGGTCACAGTACCTCAAAAAAGATATAGCATTGGAAAAAGTGCAGAAAGGGGCAACTAAAATGCACTCGGGGATCAGATGTTCCAAAGGCACCTGCTGATCTGCGGAGTGCCTCAAGGGGCAGTGCTCTCCTCGATGTTAGTTAACATCTACATGTGCCCCCTTGCCCAGATTGCCCAGAGACATATGCGGATGACACCCAGCTGCATCTGTTGTTGGGTGGCCGGTCCGTCTCTACCCTGGAAGATCAGGACGTGGTTGGCTGGCTTAGACTGAGCCAATTGAAATTGAATCTGACGAAGACGGAGGTCCTGTGCCTGAGTCGGAGTGGATCGGGGGTAGGGATCCCACTACTGGCCTTCGACGGAGCACCATTGGTTAGGAGTCTGGGAGTGCTCCTGGATGCCTCCTTAATGATGGAGGACCAGGTAGCAGCCACTGCCAAGGCAGCCTTCTACCATCTTTGGTTGAATAGGCAGCTGGGTCCCTTCCTCGAACGCAATGATCTGGCAACAGTGATCCACGCAATGGTCACCTCGAGATTAGACTACTGCAATTCTCTGTACATGGGGCTGCCCTTGTTGCAACTCCAGAAGCTGCAGCTGGTGCAAAATGCGGCGGCCAGGCTGTTGATGGGTCTCCCTATGCAGGGGCACATCCAGCCTGTACTGAAGGCATTGCACTAGCTGCCAATAGCATACTGGATTCACTTAAAGGTGCTGGTTTTGACCTTTAAAGCCCTGTATGGCCTGGGACCTGCCTACCTGAAGGACCGCCTTTCCCCACATGTTCCCCAGAGAGCACTGAAGTCAGGGTTGCAAAACTGTTTGGCCCTCCCTGGCCTGAAAGATGCCAGACTGGCCTCTACCAGGGCAAGGGCCTTCTCAGTGGTGGCTCCACACTGGTGGAATGAGCTTCCGGAAGACATCAGGGCCCTGCGGGACCTTTTACAGTTCCACAGGACCTGTAAAATGGAGCTCTTCCACCAGGCCTTCGATTACGAGCCGCCACTAGCAACATCAACAACACTAACAATACTAACTGAACAGTTAAAGCCCTTATGCCAACATCAATAGGCGGTTAGGTGGATACTGATGGGGGCCATTCTCTGGAACATCTTATCATGGGCACCTGGACGCCATTGCCACCAGCACTTTACTCTATTTTGTACTATGATCTGGTATGTTATGTATTTTATGAGGTTGTACTGTATAAGCACTTGTGTTTTAATATATTTTTAACCTTTTTAATGTAAGCCACCCTGAGCCTGCCTCGTCAGGGAGGGCAGGATAAAAATTGAATAAATAAATAAAAATATATAAATTAAGGGAATGTAACACTTTCCCTGTGAGGAGAGGTTAAAGAGGTTAGGGCTCTATAGCTTGGAGGAACAATGACTGAGGGGTGACATGACAGAGGTTTACAAAATTATGCATGGGATAGAGAAGGTAGAGAAAGAAGTACTTTTCTCCCTTTCTCGCCATATAAGAACTCATGGGCACTCAATGAAATTGATGAGCAGTAGGTTTAGAACAGATATAAGGAAGTACTTCTTCACCCAAAGAGTAATTAACATGAGGAATTCCCTGCCACAGGAAGTGGTGGAGGCTACAAGCATAGACAGCTTCAAGAGGGGATTAGATAAACATACGGAGCAGAGGTCCATCTGTGGCTATTAGCCACAATGTATAGAGGGAACATTATTTCTGGGGCAGTGATGCTCTGTATCCTTGGTGCTTGGGAGGGCAAAAGTGGGAGGGATTCTGGAGTTCTGGCCCTGCTGGTAAACCTCCTGATGGCATCTAAGTTTTGGCTACTGTGTGACACAGAGTGTTTGACTGGATGGGCCATTGGCCTGATCCAACAGGGCTACTCTTATGTTCTTATGACCTCATGGAGTGGTTAGTTCTCCTGCACAGGATTGTTGCCTCACTGTGTATGATAAGAAGGCCATGGGCCAAGAGATAACTTGCTCTAATATGTACGTATTAAAGTTAGACTTCATTTTACAGTGGGAAAAAAACCTCTGTCTCTTGTTCTCTGGACTTCCTTTAATTGGAAGCAGGTAAAAACATGGCCCTTTGCTGCTTCCCAGCTGCTTCCATTTGAATGAATGACTTCTGGAGCTCAAGATCTCACCATGGACTGAACTTTATGACTTTCAGAAGCAGGGAAAGCAGATGTGAGATGCATTTCGTTCTTGGATTTCCATAATCTGCATGAAATGTAAATTATTTTGTTTTATTGTTTTAGTTGTAAACCGATTTAAGAGGTCTCCAGACAGGTGACAAGTAAGTTTGCCAAATAAATAAATGGCTTTGATACTCATTTACAGAAGTGGAAGATGGGGAGAAGAGCAGTGCCCCATAAAGACGGAGCATTTCTTCCATTTTGCCCTCTGCTGATTTTCAAGCAGGGGTCTGCTGTAAAGCACATGGCATTTTTTCCTTCCAGAATTTGTGTTTCTATATTCTAAAAATATTTTGTGAATACCAAAAAAGATAAAACAGTACATCTAGAACATTATAAAAATACTGAAACTTTAATTTTAAAAAATAGAAAACATCATATCAAAAAGGAAATTTAAACATTTCATTTTTTAAAAAACCTGTTTCTATTACAGCTCCTTTTTGGCTTGCAGTCACATACACATTTTCATTCTCAGAATGAGTTCATAATTAAATGCATTTCAATGTAAATAAATTAAACATCAATCTAATTAAATATGCTTTTTATAAATACATTTTAAATAAAAAAGTACAGTCTAATAAATAACATTGAATTCCTTTAGAACAATTTTTCTCATGGATCAGGTAATGGATGATAGTCATTCTGTTATGCTAGAAAAATGTATTTTTGAAGTTCTGAAATGTTAAGACACTAAAATTATAAATTAATATATTTAAATTAAAAAATAGTATAACACTTTTTAAATGTTTGCGGTTTTAAGGCAGTTGGTGATCTGGAACCCTAAAAAGGTGCAGGGAGGATTTTCTTTTTGTATTAAAAAAACATTGCAGCAAAAACTTGTTTTTCTTCTTAGGAGGCAAGGAAAAGAAAGGTCTTGGGAGGGAAGTTTCAAAAGAAACAAAGGATTAGGGGAAAGAAACAAATGAGTTTGCAGGCCTGGTGTGGTTGTGTGTGTTTTTGTTAAAAGCCATGGATAGAACCACCAGTTAAAACATAGTTACTGCAAGCCCCAGGATGGAGTTACTCCAGAGAGCAATAATTTCTCTCCATGTGGAGCTCCAGTTGATGACATCATCATTCCAGGTCAGAAAATGTCCCAGAGCTGTGATCTTGTGCATACCTGTTCTACTACCCTACTGGAAAAGATATCATTTTCACTGGGGGTTGGTCTGTAGTATATGCCTCTAAAACAGATAAGTACAGCTGTCCAGATTCTCAGTTGCCTTAAATCTGCAACATTTACACTGGCCCACATGGTTCAGTGCTACATAATACAAGGAATTTAACAACTCTATTACAAATGGTAAAAACAGACAATGAAAAAATAAATAAGAAGTATAAAATAATAAATAATAATACATTGGTGGGTGGAATTCTATATGATTTTCCACTAGCCCAAACAGCCTTCTGTCAGTATTTTTTGCTGATTCCCTTCCTCTTACTGCAGAGCTCCACTCACAGCTTGTTCAGTCCAACCCATTATGTATAACATCTTGAAATGAAAAACAGGATTTACATTTCAAAAAGTTCTTATAAGGCTTTTCTTGTACGCAGTTAATTGTTGATGTCTCTCATCCAGGCAAACAGAATGTCCATCTCTCCCACAGCTTTGATTGCTGCTATATTGCTATCAAGCTACAAGGGGAAAAGAGCACAGCATTAAAGGTGTTCATTACTGAAGAAAACATGCACAACCAGTGGGTCTTCACGTTTTATCTTATGTACTTATTTGTTTACTGATAATGCAAGTGTTCTCTTTACTTTCCCAATGAGATTTCTCTTTGGCACTATTTATATATTTGTGTTACATACTATAACTTGTACCTGTAATTTCTTGACATTTAATTAATAGTTTCAGACAAGCCTTTATTGGTATGTATGTGTATGTGTGTATAAACACACACACACACACACACATACATACAATTGGAAATCAGGTAATTACAGATCAGAAAGTACAAAATCCATAAAGGTAAAATTGGAATTGCAACATATAAAAACAGAGTAAAAGCATTAAAAAAGCTAATACTTATCAGGGCATGTAACCATAGTACTGAGAAGAAATTTTGCTACTATTTCAGTTATTTCCATATCTGGATTATCAAGCAAAAAAAAAGAAAGAAAGAACCTTAAAATCATCAGCGGTCTCTAAAAATTGAGCTAATACAGAAGATCCCGACAGGATGCCAGATTGAGAGGACACTGAAGGAGAACATGGGGGACAGTTTCAACACAGTCCTTCAAACAAGGACAGCACCTGCTAGAATAGGGGATCCCCTGGAATCTGCCAGATAGAAGAGCGGATCTTGCCAAGGAAATGACTCTGCATGGAATTTGGGCTATGAGTTAATAGAGGTGTCCTCCCCAAGATGGCGTAGAGGCAGCTGCTCTGACTTACAACGCTTTGCAAGTGACTTGCAATTTTACTATTTATCTTAATTTATTGCTGGGCTTTTACGCAGTATAATTGCTTCTCTAAAACAGTGGTTTGTAGCAGTATGCTTTAAGTATTTATTTTTCAGTATTGCTGCAATAAGCTGAAGGACGTGTGGAGGAGTCCTAGCTTTGAGACCCTTTCTTTTGAGAGTTTTAATTCTTTTATGTGTGCCAGTTGTTTTTGTTCCTGAGTGTAATTACATCAGTATACTTTATGAACTGTGAGCTCTTGCCTGCAACCTCTGCTGCCTGGTTCAAACAACAACTTAGCAACAAATTTACCTTAAGATAAATTAAAATGAAGCTCCAAAAGTGGGGAGAGAAACGGAGGCTGATTCTCCACCGGCCACTAAGCAAGCCAAGATTGGAGACTATTTTGCATCCTCTCCTAATGTACCTTCTCCAATCTCAATGTCTAATTGCTTTGCTCCCCTGGCAGGGATTGCAGATGATCTGATGGAGCCTTCTTCACAGAGTCCACCTTTAAGAACTGTGACCAAAGGAAATGAAATCCCTCTGTAAACATCGAGTGGGTATAGTATCGAAGCATTAAACGAAGTTTCAGATAACCTCTTTCTGCTTATTGCAAGGACGGTAGAGTTTATTTTTAAAGAGCTCTGTTTGTTGCACTCAAAGTTGGATAAGCTGATAAACAGGGCTCCCAAGTACTTACCTTAATTCGGTGGGGGATGTATTGTTCTTCGCAGGACCATTCCCACGGGAAAAACACAGGCGCTGCACTATTCCATCTCCCAGACGTGACATAGGCATGTAGCCGGGCGACACTCTAGCAATGGGGCTGGAAACTCAATGGTACCATCGAGTTTCCAGTCCCATTACCAGAGCATCGCCCAGCTACGTGCCTACGTCACGTCTGGGCGACGGAATAGTGCAGCGCCTGTGTTCCAAGCAAGAATCTTCCGGTGGGGAAGCATGTGTCCCCCGCCGGATCGTAGGTAGGTACTTGGGACCCCTACTGATAAATGAAGCATGCTACCTTAATATCATTCAAGCTGCCTCTTGCCGTGATAAGAACCCAGCTGTTTCTAGTTCTAAAAAGCAACCTGCCAGAGGGGCTTGTTAAGCTACTTCCACAGCAACAGGAGAGGGAGAGGGAGAGAATGGCTCCCTCCCAACTTGTTTGGCAGTCACATAATCTATGCTAGAAATACATAACAGAATCTTAGATAATATTATGTGACTGTTCATTACTGAGATTTAAAAGCTGCAATAACGAACAAGGGCAATTGAAACCATGAAACCTATTAGGACAGTGAACTTAACAATACAGTTCAATATAACATAATTAAGTGAGCACTTAAGTTACGGACTTAGATCCTACTATCCCTTTCTGATGAAATTAAGGTGCTTCCATAAGTGGAGATGGACAGCAATTTCTGACTATTCCCCCTCCCACATCAGACACACACTTTATCCCTTTTATGTTGTTCATGAGGTTCCCCTGAACCCAAGGAGCTAAATTTCAGGATGGTCTGTGGGCAGTAGTGAAAGGGGGGGAGGAAGGAAATTCTATTCCAGTTGTGGATTTTGTAGATCCAAACCACTATATTCAGTAGCACTGTATCGGTTTAAGAGTTTATTGGCTCACTCGCAATAAAAATCACAGTCATTATTATTATATTACATATTATAGTATATACATTATTATATTACATATATAGAACTTTTAATACAGCCATAGGTATCTTAATTTTGTTCATACTGAGACATTAATATATTAGTGATAATAATTTTAATATTCATGTTATGAAATAATTCCTGCATTATACCCACCCACATCTCCCTAGCACATTTTGCTATGTATTTTAGCACATACAGGATCTTCAAGGAGAGAAGAAATGAAATAAAGTAAGCTACCTTTTCATATTCCTCCAGAACAATTCTGTATCTTTTATGGGACTCTGCTCCACAGGAACATTTATTTTGATCATGCTGATGAATAAATAGCACAGAGGGAAAATATTAGAATCATTATATGGAACAAGGTAAAACAAAGCTCCTGCATAGTGCAGGGGGTTGGACTAGATGTCCTGCAAGGTCCCTTCCAACTCAAACATTCTATGATTCTATGAAAAGAATACTTTCTATCCTGCTTTGGCTTTTCTTTGCTGAGTAAAATTTAGTTTTATACGGACAGGCCTGGATAAGAAGCCCTCTTTATTTGCTAAGTTACAAGCTAGTTTTGCAAGCTGCTTAATTTGCAAAATGTGTTTTCATCAGTATGACCTTTGAGAATTTAGCTTGTTGTGTACATAGCAAAGGCAGGTTACTGAAATTAGATCTCATTTAGATGATAGTCAGAAATCAAACTTACACACTGTCTCAAAGTAGTCTTAATGCGAACAAAGGTGTTTGCTAAGGGGCTGGTTTTCCTTCTTAACAAGTTGCTTGTTGCTTTGAAAACACTTTCGATGTAAAATCTCAGCAGGTGGCGGAGTAAGCAGCAACTCTCTGAAACCTAAAGTGAGAACAAAGTCTGTGAGATTTATGTGGACTCATCAGCCCCGTAGCTAGAGAATTTTTTTGGGAGGGGGCCTTGGGAGGGCACCGGCTAATTAAATCAAAGCACAATGCAGGTGGCAAGTTGGGGCACTTTGGGGGTCAGCCCGGGAAGGAGGAGGCCCAGAAGAAACACTAGGGGGCCAGGCCCCGTGGGCCCCACGTTAGCTACGGGCCAGGGACTCATCCAAATTTCTTTCAACCACGGATTTAAGTTAATGTATAGGTTCTCCATATCAGGAACATTATACTTAAGCATGGGAGACAGGCGTTCATACCCTACCTCAGCCCTGCACAGTGTATAGTCTTATGCAATGGCTACTATAGTGCTGTACCTCACAAGGCATGTGATATGGAACAACAGAAGCATTATGAAGGACTTTGCATAAAAATGACCTAGAAAGGATTAATAAGCAGTGTGTAGTCATTCCTTGCCCATTAGTGGATTAATTGCTATTCTGTAGCATATTTAGCCCAAAAAAAGTTAGGAAGGGGAGATGGAATACATACTCAGGTCAAGTATGGAATTATATTTGGATCCATGAAAGTCATTAGATTAAATAAACAGCAACTAACTGGCATATCATGGAAGGTAAATTGAGCTGAGGGATGAGTATGAGAGAGGTTGCTCTTATAAACTTGTGACTTATTCCAAGGGTGGAAATCCTTCTGTCTGCAGAAATGGTCTGGTAGATCAAGGTCTATGGAGGTACAATTTCTACTGATAGTTTTCCATCATATATACACTGTTCAGAAATGGACTCCTGTTGACCCTCAGAAACTAGACAATGAGCACTTGTGTATTTGAAAGAAACTCTCCTTACTGGAATTCCTAGCAGGACACTTTCCTTCAGAAGTATCACATCAGTCCTGTTATCCTGGGTTTGCTGCAATTACATAAAAAGAAGAGAAATCATATGAGTCAAAGGAACAGCTGAAAAGGGAGAACAGTATGCCATCAGGTTGTCTTTTTGAAAAATAATCGCTTCTTCTAGTCTAGTGAAGATAGGCGCCTGGGTAAGTTCATATTCTTCATCTTCTGTTTTATGTATCATATTCACCATTATCAATGCTGGGAACTTTGCTGCTGATCTACTAGTCTTGGACTCATGCTGCTTCTCTTTTTCTACATTTTCATTTACTAAATGACTCCAAAATGTTTACACTTGCCCTTCTCTACCAGTTAGCAACATGGCCCATGGGCAAAGAAGATTTCAAGAAGGATTGATGATAAAGATGTAGGGGTTCACTGTAGACATGTCATCTGGAAGATATATCTCATCCATCCAATGGGTAGCAACTGCAAGCCTTCCCTGAAGGAGTTTCAACACACATACACTTTACAGGGTTTAATGAGTTTTGACTAAAATAAATTAACTTCTTCAAGACTTTGCCTCGCTTCCATCTATAGCCTATGTCTACTTCAAGAAATAGAACATCCTTGGAGAGATTGTTTAGGACAGCATACTATGAGCACAACTCTCTGAGGTGTCTTTTCCCAAACTCACCAAGTACCCAGACCTATTCTGAGGTTACATGATTGAGCACATAGAGCTATACGACATTTTTATTGGCAAATATAAAAGAAGAAAAGTATTAAGAAATTTCAGATAATTTAGGATGCATTCCTAAGCAGGAGTAAGCTCCCTGATGGCTTTGAGCACCCTGTAACCACTGCTGCACCTGACAGACAACCGTGGAGGGAGTGTGTTTGATGCCATGGGGAGGCTGTGCCAGCAGCATTGCTGCATCTCATGGGAGGTTGGCCACTCCCGATTTCCTCAACTGTCATTAGCTCTCTGCAGTCTCCTGTAACTGTTTTTTTTAACCTCAGAACACTGAGCTCTGCAGCTGACCAGTCAGAGAGTGGGGGGTGCAAGGAGGCAGCAGTCTGGCAGCCACATAGGAAGTAAGGGGGGAGCACATTTTACCCCTTTTGACCCCCTTAGGGGTCAAATTTCTAAAAATCCCTTCTTAATGAGCATCTACGTCATGGTAGGAGTGCTTTCCCCATATTTTGTGTTTCTAGGTTACGGGGTTTGGCTTGGGCATTGATTTTATGGTGCGGGGACTTTCTTTTATACATATATATGTGTGTGTGTTTGTGTGTGTGTGTGTGTGTGTGTGTGTATATATATATATGTATATGTATATGTATATGTATGTATGTATGTATGTGTCAATTTGTTGATCACTTTGGTGGCCTTTGTATGAGCAGAAAGGCAGGATACATATTTTTGTAAATAGGAAGAAAGAAAGAAAGAAAGAAAGAAAGAAAGAAAGAAAGAAAGAAAGATCGTTTTAAGCCTATTGACTTCAGTGGTCTTAGAAGGAAGTTACTCTGTTCAGATTTGCGCTGTGAGTAGACTAAGCAGCCCAAGTTTCAAATAAACCACTGGGAGTCAAACATAGATTTTCGAGAGATACTTACTACAGTTTCTTTGATTTCACCAAAATAGTCCCTTAGTTCGCGGAAAGATATTCCACTCAATTCACATTGGCCAAACTGGAGTATTTTGCGTTCTTTTGTCACAATCGTACCACAGAGAAATGAAAGAAGGACAATACAGGTGAAAGGACCCATGCTAATCATTGTCTGTTTGATGGTCCAAACTGTTCCTGTAAGAAGGTGCAAGTTTAAAGGACTATTGATTTAAAGGTATAATTTAATTGAGCTATACTAGTGAACTGTTTTTAAAAAATCAGACTTGTAGAGAAATAAAACAATATTTTTATACCAATAGTAGAGACACACACAGTGTTATCCTGAAAAATCATACTATCCTGTCCATGCAACCTTATATATGAGTACTGGCCCTTTTTAAAACAACAACAAGAAAAGCACTGCCAATAGATATACAAACACATTTAAAATTAATAGTGGGAATAAGCAGTTCTTTAATTTTCTGGTCATCCACAGTGGGAATAAGCAGTTCTTTAATTTTCTGATCATCCACAGGTTTCCACATACATCACTTTCAATTTTTTGAAGAAAAATATGAATGGCAAGCCATATTATTATAAATGGATTCAATTCAGGATTAGTTCATTAGAAACCGAGGTGAATGGAACGTTTTATGTATTATTGCCCTGATGCTCATTCATCCCAAAATTCTGAAGCATAGTTAAAAACAAACTCTAACCAGTAGTTGAATGAAAGTATTGTTTTTATATCAATATGAGTCTGAGTCATACTCAGAGAGTTTAGTTAACTGGAAAACAAACAATCCAGTCTTGACACACTGGACACAGTACAGAGGAAATACAGTAATTTGAAGAAATGTTTAAATGCTTAATCCTGCCAGTTTCCATGAGATCTCATTGCGCCTAACCTCTTTTGGACTACTCTGTAGAGGCAATGTCTCATTTAATGCAGTGGAATTTACTTCCATGTGATGTGTTTCATATTAATTGGAAAACTGAAGTTTAGACTGGGTTATAGCTATAATAATAGATTTAAGCACAGTATTCATTGATCTCTAACAGCCAAATCAGCAACACAGGTGGTCAGCTGTTATTCCTAACCTAAATACATTCATTTCAATGTTTGTTCCATTTGTTCATATAAATGGAATCTCCTTGCAGCTAAATCTGCTTTTTGGAATTAAAAATTCAAGTCCTTATTCCTTTTGTATGAACTGGAATAACAAAGTAAACAAAAGCCAAGTAATTTCTTCATTCTCTAATCAGTAAAACACTTTGCTTCTAATGGGCAGCTGGTAAAAATGCCTTACAATTTCATGTTAGCATAAAGTTTCAGTGCTTACCTTACTTGCTTGAATGCTGTGACTTCCAATGATGTTTAACTCTGACTGCATCGTTCTGGTTCTTTATATACATGTGAAAGACTTCACAGGAAATTTCCTGTGACCTGTCAGATAACATGTACCTGTCAGGCAACGTGGGTGGGGAGTCCTCACTCTCCATTTCTCTCTGTTCATTTGCATATTTCAAAAATAGTTTCCCAAATGCATAAACAAAAAGTTTTTAAAAAGAGGGAAAAAAAGCAGAGTCATGTTTTGAACATGACATCACAAGTTGAGGGATTTGGAAGGCATTTAGAATATGAGTTTAAGGAAGAGAGAAGTATTAATTTTTAAAAATAACTGTTTCCTGAGGCACTGCTTAAAAAAATAAGCAAGAACATTTATTGGCATGTGAACTCAGTGAGGCTAAGACTACTAGTATTTATAAAAGATATATTTGAAAAGACATTATAACTCATTAGATAATTTATTTATTTAGATCTACTTCTTATGGACCATATTAAACAAAAGATATTAGGAATATGAATAGGGAGCACCCCAAAGAAAACATTTTCTGGTAATTTCCCCCACTTACCTGAAAAGAGTACTTAAATATTTGCAGCCTGAATTTTGAATATATATACATACATGCATACATACATACATATATATATACACACATATACATATATACATATATGTATATGTATATACACACACACTGTATATATATATATACATATACACACACACACACACATTACATACATACACATACATTCATTAAATAAATTCAGACTAGAAATAAAATGCAAACTTCTAAAAACACACCTGTATTTAGAAGTTAATCCTTGCCCATCAACATATATTTTCAAAGTGCCACATGACTTCCAAAAGATGCTCAAGGTTGGACTTCAGTGAATCTCCAGGGAAAGGGCCATGATTTGGGTTCTGTTTGAGAGACCACTTAGAGATTCTCTTTGAGCTCCATCCAAGAAAGGTTTTATATAAATGTAATCAATCAAGGAGGCTTGAAATGTTCTGAGAATCTGAGAATCTGTGGAAAAGGAAGGGAACTGGGACAATAGAAACCTTAGAAGCTTATTTTATCCTGAAGGGGGTGATTAAGGTCAGGGGATGTATGCTAACAAGTAATTATTACCTTTCCAAATTCCCTTCCCAAGTTCAGGATGCAATATGATTTTAAGTGCTGTGTTCGTTTTAAAGCTAAACATTTCAGGGGGGGGTTACATTAATTTTTATGTAGGAAAGGCAAACTATAAATAAAGTATGGTGGTGAAATTAAAGTCAGGGAATTTGTGTGCACCCCTAGCATTTATGACTGATTTATATGACTTACGACTGACCTAATAGTCGATTTAAAGTTGAGCACTTATGCAGCAAGGACAGGCAGCAGTAGAACTTATTTTTACTGTGTGAGAATGCACATGCATGAACAGCAGGAGAGTCTGGGGATGGTGCAGCATCACAGGATTTCTCTTTTAAAAATGCAGCCCCATTCACTCACTGGAGGTGCTCTAGAAAGCTCTGGAAGTGGGGTTGCCAACCTCCAGGTCAGGCCTAAGATCTCCCAAAATTACAACTGGTCTTCAGATGACAGATCAGTTCCCTTGAAGAAAATTGCTGTTTTGGAAGGTGGAAGGTGGATATTATACCTAGCACCCTCCCCTCCCAAATCCCACCCTCCGCAGGCTCCCCCCTCAAAATTTCCAGGAGTTTCCCAACCTGGAGTTGGCAACCCTTTCTGTAATATTAAAATATTAAAATGTAATTGTGTGGTAAATCATAGTGATATCTATATATCTGCACGTTATTTCCCATACAGTTTATATCAGGAGTATTTTTATTATTGCTTTTTTATACCATAAAAAGGTAAATGTATAGGTTCCCTTGCTCGAAAGCCAGTCGAATCCGACTCTAGGGTGGCAGTGCTCATCTCCGTTTCAAAGCCAAAGAGCCAGCGCTGTCCGAAGACGTTTCCGTGGTCATGTGGCCGGCATGAATAAACACCAAGGCGCACGGAACGCTGTTACCTTCCCACTTTCTTGCTTTCGAACTGCTGGGTTGACAGGAGCTGGAACTAGAGATGGGAGCTCACTCCATCATGCGGTACTGCTAAACTACCGACCTTCCACAGCCTGCAGTTCAGCGTCTTAACCACTTGAGCCACCGCAGCTCCCTTTTTTATATATATACCATACAATAGCCAAAAATATAGGTACTGTTGGAAAATAGTCACATACAGTTTGAAACACAGAAGGGGAAGCCATTGGCCATTTCCCTTGTCTATAAAACATCCATGGTTCCTATCAGACAGGGTTCCAGGAATTTATCAGACAGGGTTCCAGGAATTTCCACAGACTCTCCTTATAAGGACAAGATTTCCTATGTTTCCTATGCAGGTGATTTCCAATATGTTTCATCAATGACTTAATAAAGACAATTAGAACTGTGCTTCCTTCTCCAAAAGCATGTTGTCACATTGTGATAGTTTACACAGCTCCAGGATGCTGCCATATGCTTTCCTGCTCCTACTACTTCCCTTTCAGGAAGTATCCATATTTCTCCACTTATAAGTTCATTTAGAGAAAAGAAGGCAAAAATAAGTGTTGTATATTCTCAACCACATTCCCTCAGAGTGCCTCTGAACAGAAATTGCCTATACCCTGGGCTACAGTAAAACAGCTTCAGATGTTCAGGGTTAGGAAAATTATGAGAAGTATTTGGGAGGGAGAATATATTCAGGAAAGGAAGATACAAAAACACAGACACATTTTCCCCATTATATAATTCACTATGATGGTGATAGGCAACTTTGGGATTGAATACATTTTGTTAAATTTATAACCCCATCACAAAAATTCCAGGCATGCAGGGACTAAAACAAAGAATTTCAACAAAATAAAATGCAGATAGCTGTCTCAAGGTACATACCCTTTCCGTACCCTTGACTCCAAGCCAAAGGAGACTGTACCTAGGGATGGGCACAAACAGACTCATGAATTAAAGTTCATCACGAAGTTTGGCCAGTTTGTGGTTTGTGAAGCAATGTTTGTAGACTGAAGAGCCACCATAAACTTCCATGAATTTTGATGCAGTTTCTGGTGGTTCATGAAGAGCAGAAAGCAGGGGCCATTCAAACCCCTGCTTTTGGCTTTTCACAAAAAACCGCTGAGCTCTAAGCCATTTAAATCACTGCTTTCTGCTCCTTGCTGCTCAGATGTTTAGTTTAAATGGCTCAGAGCCATTAAAAGACCTGCTTTCTGGTCACCACCACTTTTGGCAAGTATTATGTACGCGGACCACCACCAGGGGTCTGTAGCTAGCAGGAGCTTGGTCCCCAAACACAAAGGGGACCTAGGATCCTAGTCCACCTAGAGTCCACCAATAGCACCCTTGGCGGGAAATTCAAACCCTCCAATGGGGACAGAGGTGTGCCGAGTGGAGTATATATAGTTCGCCTTGCAGGGCCGTTTCCTCTTGTCTTGTTGTGAAGTACAGTAAACACGTCTGAACGCATGTCGTAGTCCGAGTTCTCCACACGTCAAACCCAGTACTTTTCAGTGGTGATGAGGATGGGATCCCGATGAGGAGGCCAGGCTCACCTTCCAGTGCAGCACCGAGCATCGTTCCAGAAAACGGCACCGTGCCCGCACCGCTCCCGAGCAACACTGCACCACGCTCGGTGTCGCCAAAACCCACTCCCCCGCTCCACGCTAGAGTCATGGCCTCCACTCCAGGACACCTTGAGATTTTCGACCCCACTCATCCCAAGCTCTGGGATTCATGGATGGACCAGCTAATCTGCCATCTTGCC